ACAAATTCGATTTAGTGCAAGCCAATAAAGCAAGATATCGAACACCAGACAAAAAAAAGTTGTTCACCAAGTGATCCACGCTCACATTATAAGTTGACAACGAAATTCTTTCTTATTTACAGAGAAACTTTGTTAGTAACTTCCAAATTAATCATAAGTGCCGTGAATATATTAATTTCTTTATAATTAAGCTACGTAGCAGTAGAATTAAGCTGACCGTCGGATGGATCTGTGTCTGCATTGATGAAGCTGCAGCCATGCAAAATGAAGAAGAGTAGGGCCACCTTTACCACCAAGCTCATCCTGCCCCCACCTTCTTCGCGTTCAATTGAACCCAATATTTTAATACGGAATTTTATCAAATAGTACTGTAACATTAAATTTCGAACTCATAATGTGATCAGATGGATTCAATAGTCATAACTTAAAAGGTTGATCCATCAAATTTAAATTCTAAATTCGTCTATGTCTCTGAACTCGAAAAAAAATCAAGGCTTTATCAGAAAAAAGAGAGAGTAATCCTCTTGACAAATTAATAGGAGAAAGAAAAGGACGATCTGCAAATCTTCTTGTATATGATCAATGATACCGATGGATGATCTATAAATATATGGTCAGTAAAGCTGACTGAAGAATTAGATTAATGGCGGATCGGAATAGTTAATAGGAACTGGAAATTTATATATAATAAAAAATGCAGAAGAAAAATGGAGTTAATAGGTTAACGTTGATAAATTGGCATGCACGATAAATTTGGTGCGGGGTGAGGAGGGAAGAAGGAGTGATAGCTGAAAATGGAAATGTGAGGGAGGGAGAGAGTTACGGGTATCGGGTTGCCCCATAAGGTGGGGTGTGGGTTTATTTCGGAATTTAACTTGTTGTATTTATTTCTTTGTTTCAATTTATTTGTGTTGTTTTTCATTTTAGAAACTTTTTGATTCTAAATCTGCAGTTTTGACAGTAATATATTTAAGATCCTAAAATTAAATGACAATTTTAATATATATATATATATATATATATATATTTTATTTGTCTTTGTTTATAATCACAAAATTCAAAAAAAAAAAATTAAAAATTGTACCAAGTTAAAACTAAATTACACCATAATTTGCACGAATATGATGTAAACCATTTGGAGATAAAAAAGAAGAGAAATTATAATTTGATATATGAGTAGAGGTAATTTGATAGTGTAAAAACTTTTATACCATCTATGAAAGTTGACAAATGACAACCTAAAGTAAATGGTTAGTAACATTGATACAAAGGAAAAATGACTTGATATATCCTTCTACTTTGCTATTTAAAATTTATATAATTATTATGAAAGTAATTTATATATATCCTATTATACAAATGACTTATATATATAATATTATGACATGTAATTTTATATTGCATACGAAATTGAATGTCAAAACTCCTAGTACTCGTATTTCAAGAATAGTCATTTTGCAATTATATCCTTTCCTATTTTGAATAGTCTTCCACGTGAATTCTTATTCTCCCACTTTTAACACATTTTCCGCTTTATGTCTTTGTTCCATGCACCTTCCAAGCCTCGAAGATAGTGAGTAGTGACTGACGACAAATCTACAAACTCATTATCTGGACATCTTGTATAAATTTTTTGATGAAATTCGGATTGAATCACCATATATCCATATACTTTCTGCTGATTTTTATTCAGATCTGTGTTGATTCTCGCGGGACTCATGATGTAACTGATCCGTTTTACTGACAGACAAATCCATCTTTTGCTCCATAAAAATCCGCAATTTTTCACTTCCCGCTTAGAGTTGATTAACAGGTTTGATATCTCTATGCAAAATGTTGCGGCTGTGGTGGAGGCCGGAGGGAGGTACAAGAGCCCCGAAAGAATCTGGCTTGGCGGCGGGTTATATCGATCACAAAGGATAGTCGAGCATGTCGTGACATCTGAGGACGTTAGGGTTATCAATATCCAGGAGAATTTGAATTCCTCGGGATGCGAACGCAGTGTAAAGTTCACCGGTGGGCCTTTGTTGGACCTTGTACACGGAACTTCCGAAGTCGGTGCCCGGAAGAAGGGGAAAATTCACCATGGTTCCGCTGCTCAGAGGAAGAGGGTGGTGCCGCCGTGAATAAGGAAGAGGCGGCGGTATGATGGATTTAGTGATACTGGGAGAAACTCTGGTATGTATTTTCTTCTCTCCTCTGTTTTCCGCAGAATTAGGGATGTAAATTGGTAACAATAATGTTCTAATCCCATCATCTCTAAAAATTTCAATTTGTTTGGCCCTACTTTTCTTTTAGCTCGTTTAAAAAAAGAATGCCTCTTTCATTTGTTTGCAACTCCTTAATTCAAATTTTTTATGTCACATTTTGGTACATTTGACATGTCGTTAATTCAAGACCACAGTGCCAAGTTAAAACTAGACAAACAAATTGAACAAAGTATCATATTTTATAAGATCATATATAACTGTATCAATTTTCATTCAATATCAGCAGATAATGTTTGCACAAACCAAAAATATTGATTGAGAAAAAAAAATGTACATGTTAGAAGTATTTGTTTTCTTTTTGTTTTTGCTTTTCAAATTTTATTGTTGTTTTTGTTTTTGCCATCACCATCTATGTAGGGGCTATGATTTAACGGAGTTCTGTGGCATGAAAGAATTCAATGCATGCATCCATTGTTAAGAAACTCAAACGAAGTAGTATCTTTGTTATGTTACAAAATAGAACAAAAAAGGAAATTAGCACATAAGATGCCTACAGATAATTAATAGTACTGAACTTATAATGCAGGTGCTTAGCAGATAAGATTATCAACAGCAGACAGAGACTATAGTTATGGATCCTTCATCAAAAAGATAAAGAACATAGTTATGGATCAAATATAATGAAAGTTTTTAGGATCACTACTGCTTGGAAGACGAACAGTAATATGTTCAATTCAACTTCATAGGTAAGTTTCCAAGCAGCTTCCTCTTGCATTAACAATTACAGTAAGGCAATGACATTGACAGTTACATACACAATCCTCTCAAAATCCAACCATCCAAGTTAATTACTTCTGACATCTAATGGCTTAAGTCATCGACAGCCCCTTAAAGTTGTCCTCATAATTCACTTAAACACCTCAATTGAGGCTTGTACCTATTGAACACCTTGACTATTCTGAATTTGAACCATTTAGACACTTTGTGCACACGTGGCACAAAAAGTGTAACCCACACCTTGTTAGGCGCTTGAACCATTTAATCAACATCTTTTAGTTTTTCTTTTTTTGTTTCTCATTTTTTTTTAAAAAAGAAATAACAATCTTTCTTTCTTCTTTCTCTTTCAAAATTGCAGACCTGCTGCCACAAATTATTCATAGCAACAAAATCTACCACCTTACATTTTTTTTATAAATTTACTTCTTCTAAGCTTATGCTTAAATTTAATAAAAAATGGAGTCAACTACCCTCAATTCCTTTGTTAGAAAAAATGAAAAACATAATCTAAGTTTTTTTGTCGGAAAAAATGGAGATCACCATTCCGGAAAATATGGAGGCCACACACACTATCTTCGATCGACACCCCTTCTTTCTTCGTAACGAAACAAAAACAGAAAGTAAATTTGAAATCAAAACAAAAAGAGAATGAACAAATTTTATTTTTTTTAAGAAAAAAAAAATACTACTATCGATTTTGAAATAGGAACAAAAGAGAAAACATTAAGAGAAAAAAGAAGAAAATAAATTCATACTTAGTTATGTTAAAATCTCCATTTAGAAAATAACAATGGTGGACAAGAGGTGATTTTAGTGAGAGAAGAAAAGGAAAGGTTTGAGGTGGTGTCGGGTGCAGGGTGGGGATTTTTCATTTTTTTTTAGTTGAAATTCTTTTCTTTTTAGTTTTAGCTTCTTCTTTTTTCAAAATTCATTTATACAATTATTTTAAATTTAAATGCCACATGTCTTTCTTTGATTTGTTATTTTGCCACATCAGTTGCAAGTGTATTACACGCACTTCTTCTTTTGATCCGGCCTTAGAAAAATGTTTGATAGGTATTTATTTTTTAAGGTTGGAGTGTCTAATAGGAAAAGAGGTATATGAAAATATGGAGGCCACACACACTATCTTCGATCGACACCCCTTCTTTCTTCGTAACGAAACAAAAACAGAAAGTAAATTTGAAATCAAAACAAAAAGAGAATGAACAAATTTTATTTTTTTTAAGAAAAAAAAAATACTACTATCGATTTTGAAATAGGAACAAAAGAGAAAACATTAAGAGAAAAAAGAAGAAAATAAATTCATACTTAGTTATGTTAAAATCTCCATTTAGAAAATAACAATGGTGCATGGTGGACAAGAGGTGATTTAGTGAGAGAGAAAGGAAGGTTTGAGGTGGTGTCGGGTGCAGGGTGGGTGTGAGGGTGGGGATTTTTCATATTTTTTTAGTTGAAATTCTTTGCTTTTTAGTTTTAGCTTCTTCTTTTTTCAAAATTCATTTATACAATTATTTTAAATTTAAATGCCACATGTCTTTCTTTGATTTGTTATTTTGCCACATCAGTTGCAAGTGTATTACACGCACTTCTTCTTTTGATCCGGCCTTAGAAAAATGTTTGATAGGTATTTATTTTTTAAGGTTGGAGTGTCTAATGGGAAAAGAGGTATATTAAGGTGTCTAAATGAATTTTGTGGACAACTTTAAGGGTCTGTAGATGACTTAAGCCGACATCTAATTGCATCCTCATTCTCATACATGATGCTATCTTAGAGTATTGGTCAATCAGAGAGGTGCATGTTGGCGTGTTTGCTTGTTTGGTGTGCAAGCTATTACTACTGACCAAGTCTAAGCTCAGCTGTTTCTGAAATTTCACCTACTAGATAGTCAGCATTAAATAGAATAAAAAGTAATTAGCGATTGGGGGAATGAGTCAACCAAATCAATTTTGTCGCTGAGTTCATTTAGTCAGTTTTTAATTTGGTCAAACTTAGGAGGAAGCTTTACTAACTTGTTGTAGCTCCTAAGTCTTCTCTCTCAATAACCAAACAGCATATTTTCAACTATTTGTTCTTTGAAAACTTTATCTTTGACTTTTGTTTCTACAATCATAGCTAAGGTATTTACTGGTAGAAGTTTATGAAGCTCCCTGATACCATATATCTAGAGCAACACAGTTAAGAGAGCTTTAGACACTTCTCTTTAAGGTGATTACTGCTTCTTGCCCAACTCTCAGACTACTTTCTGCCAGAGTTTTTCAAATGCAAAATCCAAGATGCAGCTTTCTAATTCTTTTCATTCAACTTGTTTCCATCATTAGCTTTTGCCACTACGCAAGGCAAATAAGAGGTGAAGATAATAAAACTAGTGCTATAGAGGTGGATGTGGGCATAATTCTTGATCTGGAAACAAATGTGGGAAAAGTAATGAACATATCTATCTTACTAGCCCTGGCAGATTACCATGCCAACGCTAGTCGCGGTGCCATTAAGATAGTTCCTCATTTCAGGGATTCCAAGAGAGATGATGTTGAAGCAGCATCTGCTGGTAAATTTAGCTCCATGATTTAGTTGTGTTAAACTAACATGTCTTACTCTCTTTGCTTCACGAGTCAGACATATTCTGGTAGTTGGTCATTCATGCACTATTTGCATAAGATACTCTCTTTTCTCTAAGATATTGGTTATCCTATTTTAATAGGGATTTTCAGATAACTTCTTACAATCTGATTGTGTATATGCAGCCATATACTTGCTAAAGGATGTCCAAGTGCAAGCTATCTTTGGGCCACAAATGTCTACACAAACTGATTTTGTGATTGACATAGGGAACAGAACAAAAGTCCCTATCATTTCTCCAGCAACAAGTCCTTCACTCTCAGTCAAGGAAAATCCCTTTTTCATTAGAGGAGCACTTCCTTCTTCCAGCCAGACTAAAGCCATTGCAGCCATTGTTAGAAACTATGATTGGAGGCAGGTTGTGATCATCTACGAGGATAGCTCCTATGGAACTGGGATAGTTCCACATCTGACTGATGCTTTACTGGAAATCAACACTTTAGTCTCCTATAGAAGTGTTATTTCTCTTTCAGCCAATGATGATGAAATCCTCAAGGAGTTATACAATTTGAACACAAAGCAGACCAGGGTATTCATCGTGCACTTGCAACCATATCTTGCCTCACGCCTTTTTCTCAAGGCCAAAGAAGCCGGGATGATGAGCAGTGGATATGCATGGATCATCACAGATGTGCTAACAAGTCTTCTGGACTCGGTAGATCATTCAGTCATTGAGTCATCAATGCAAGGTGTTCTTGGTATAAAACCTTATATTCCAAGATCAAATGAGCTTAACAATTACACGAGGAGATGGAGAAAGAGATTCCGTCAAGAGTATCCAGACATGGACCCAGTTGAACTCAATGTTTACGGGCTATGGGCATATGATAGCATCACCGCATTAACAAAAGCAATAGCAAAAGTGGGCACTACCATCATCCCAAAATTCAAGAAAGCAGACACTAGAGAGAATTTAACGGACTTAGATGCACTTGGAACCTCAGAATTTGGATCTCTGCTCCTCGACTCTATGCGAAATACAACGCCAAAAAAAGGACTAAGTGGTGAATTCCGTATCATTGATGGAGAATTGCAGCTATACACATATGAGATTGTGAATATAATTGGGAAAGGAGAGAGAAGCGTTGGATTCTGGACAGAGAAGGATGGCATTTCGCATAAACTGAAGATGAATAGTAAAACAGCTAAGAGTATGAATGAGCAACTAGCGGCCATCATTTGGCCTGGTGAATCTATTATTGTTCCGAGAGGCTGGGAAATACCCACAAGTGGGAAGAAGTTGAGGGTTGGAGTTCCTGTCAAAGGAGGGCTGGAGCAATTCATTAAAGTGGAAATAGATGCCAAAACACAAGCAGTAACTGCAACTGGTTTCATTCCAGATGTCTTCAAAGAAGTTATCCAATCTTTGCCATACGCCATCCCTTACGAATTTATTCCATTTCCAATAGATAGCCCCACTTCTCAAGACTATGATGATCTTGTTTACAAGATCTCCTCAAAGGTAATATCCAATTCTTTTTTGAATTAACCTTTTTGGCTGAATACCTTACATGCTCCTTTCCGGGACTTCCATATCTACTTTCTTCTTTGACTGAGATCAACCATAAATACTAAAATAATCGTTGTTTGCTTGAACCAGGAATATGATGCAGTTGTAGGTGATGTGACCATTTTAGCGAGCCGAGCCAAGTATGTGGATTTCACATTACCTTTTTCAGAGTCCGGTATTTCTGCTGTTGTGTCGGTAAAGAATGATGATAGAAAGAATGCTTGGATTTTCTTGAAACCTCTAAAGAGCGAGCTTTGGATAACAACAGGAGGATTCTTCATCTTCATTGGTTTTGTGGTTTGGGTACTTGAACATCGTGTAAACAAAGAGTTTCGAGGACCCAAACACAAGCAAGTTGGGATGATATTCTGGTTTTCCTTCTCAACTCTCGTTTTTGCTCATAGTAAGTCTCTAACACAAAGCAAATTATATACAAAAAGCTTTAGGATTTATCCTTGTTTCTCAACAAATCATATATATGGCTGGTTGTTTCAGGAGAGAGGGTTACTAGTAACTTAACAAGATTTGTGCTGATTGTGTGGGTTTTCGTGGTTCTGGTGCTGACATCAAGTTATACAGCCAACTTAACATCTATGTTGACAGTGCAACAGCTCCAACCTTCTATAACTGACCTCAATGATCT